ATAATCTAAAAGAAAATTTCTATAAGATGATGTGTCATTGGTATTTAATACCAGATAAGGTAAATTAAAGGACACTTAGATTCCTATCATGAACAAATGGTTGCAAAAGTTGATGGAGTTGGCTGAAATGGCAAAATTGACTATTTCGATTAAAGAAAAGAATATACAGTAAGTACTTTTGTTTCCATATGGAGACTGCTTCTGAACTTTGTGCTTGAAGTGGAAAAGAATGAAACTTTGATTTTGGGTTTTACCTATTAGACTGATAGATCTTTATAGAAATTGCTTGTTTAATATTATTATGAAAAAACAAAAAGTGATTTGATGTTAATACCTTATTTTTACTGCAACAGAGAGAGTCGGAAGTCAATGTTTCTTTTTCTTTTTTTCCTACCCTTCCTCACTTCTCTTCCCCCTCTTCCTCCCTACTGTTCTCCTATTTACTTTTATATTTTGTTTCTTAGTTTGTCTTATAACTCAATAAAAACATTAAACTTAAACAAATCAATATATTTCTAAGGATACTTTTTTTATCAGAAACCAGCCAAAAAGATTGGAGACTGGCAAAAAATGTTGTAAATCACGGTCATGTGACTATGGAACGCTACAACCCATAAAGGTGAGCCCATTGCCAAGTGTTCAAAGCACAGTCATGTGACTTCAGGGGAGGTGCTGAAGCCATCAGAACTCTAAATGGTCACCAAGTGACCAGTCATTAAGCAAGGACTACCTGTAATTATTTTAAATTAAAAGCAATTACATTTTTGCTTTCTTAAACTGGTACTTTTTAAATAACCTATACCTTCTTAGAAATTCTTGGATATTTAGAAATGTACTTATTGTTTTTTATTATGAAAAAGACCTTTGAGCTATTCATATACTTCTGCTTGCCTTTATTTTACAAATCACCATAATTTCTAGTGGCACTGAACATGAGTAGTTAAGTGTCTATAACTTTGAAAGCTAAGTTGTGCCATCCAAAAATAAAAGAATAGCTCATTTAAAATTGCCTAGTGTAGAGAAAGATATTAATTTGCACATTAAATTAATATAACATGCACGCACCAATAAAACAAAACATAATGATTTCTGAATTTCTAGGATATAAAACGTTGGAGCTGCCTATTAAAATTTATTTATTTATTTATTTAAACAATTTACAATATGCCCATGGTTCTCATAATTTTGGGTGGCTAACAGTATATTAAGAGTCCAAAACCAAAAATTAAAACAATGGCAGAACATCCAAATAGCATATAATACAGTGGGGGGTTGCTCCCCATTCAGTCTAGTTCTATAGAACCGGTAGTAAAACCGGTGGGAGGCTCCGCCCACCCATCACAACCTCATTGTGGGTGATCTGCGCATGCACAGAAGCATGCGCGCTCCCACTGTGACCGGCAGTAAAGGTAAATGGAACCCACCACTGATACAATACACACAAAAAATTCCCATATCTCATCCAACCACATAGAATCAGGTTCATCAAAGATCTTGGCCCCAGCTTTTGGGCAAAGATTCATGTTTTTAAGGTTCTCCTAAAGCCTCGTAAGTTCAGGTCCATCCAAATCTCAAGGGGAAATGCATATTTCCTTGTTCCCACTAAATGACACTACTTCACAGAAGGGGCGCAGAACACACCAACTCTGCCAGATCTGATGAAACAAGCATAAATAATCTCAATAGTTGGTCCCTGTGTCAAGTAGGGTCATAATCAGCTTCTTGAATTATATCTGGAAGCCTACTGAGAACCAGTGCAACACGTAGAGCAGCTGAATCACATGGGTGTCCCACACTGTGTCCAAAACAGCTCGTTCCAGCTATAGCTTCCAAATGATCTTTAAGAACAGCCCTATTCATAACTAGGGGATGAATGATCATGCCCAATGCCTCAGGTCTAAGAATGTGCCCCATTAACAGACAGAATGGATTTGTCCAAAGGTTCTTTTAGCCATAGTTGCCATTTGCTCCATAAGCAAGGCTCCAAATTTTGCACTTACTTCATCTGGAACAGTGCTATGCCATTCTAAGTTAAAATTTCCCTCAGCCACTCAGTGCTGCTAGAGTTTAGCCAAACTGTCCTTCCCTATCCAGATTCCACACTATTCAGGCATTGGGATAGAATTCTGACAATATCACTTAATTAGCCAGACGTGGCGCTGTATAATTGAATATTATCCTCATGTTAATGCCTTCTATCCTCAGAAGACCTCCCTAATAGTTTCATGAAGATGCAGAACAGAAGCGGGAAGAAAATAGAGTCATGACATCCCACAAAGTAAACGTCTAGTGCTTCCCCCTCCACCAATACTGATAGCAACTAGCCCTCCTAAAAGGAAAAGAACCAGCACAGAAGGGTGTCCCCCCTCCTAAATCCCTAAGTTGGTCCATAAGGATACCATGCTTGATAGTATTATAAATCACAGGGTGGTTAAAATGGATAGGTTATCTCATCCTAAACCCCCAAGAAGTTCTTAACAAGTACAATCAATGCAACTCCAGTGCTATAACCAGGTCTGAACCCGCTTAAAACTATGAAAATAATACATTTTCTAAGAGATCTTTGGAACTGAAAGCCAACCATTTTCTGAATAACCTTACATAAAAAGGGAAAGTTGTACACTAAACCAAAGTGTTCCATTCTTTTATATCCAGTGATTGCTTTTTTGAGAAGGTAAACCACTATCTTAGAATAACAGAGTTGGAAGGGATCTTGAAGGTCTTCTAGTCCAAACTCCCGTTCAAGCAGAGGGTTTATGATAATTCACCACGGCCAACTCGCCATGGCCAACTCACCACGGCCATCTCGCCACAGGACAACTCACTGTGGGACAAGAGTTACATTTTATATCAAAGAAATGGTGGAATAGAATCATTAAAGAAAGGAGGGACAGAATAAAATGTGGAGGCAAAAATTAAAATAATTTTTATTTATTGTAAATAATTAAATAGAATTGCTAAATTGTCCTGTAGCGAGTTGTCCTACAGTAAGTTGGCCATGGCAAGTTGTCCCATGGTGAGTTAGCCATGGTGAGCTGGCTGCAGCAAATTGGCTGTGGCAAGTTGTCCCATTCCCTCCGCAAGAGATCCTAGGTTCGCCATCACGGTTCTAAGATGATGGATCTTATTCCCCCAATTAGGAGATTTTGTGTGGTGTAGTGGGTTAAGAAACTCTACTTCCAATTAATGGTAGGAATGAAGCCCTCTGTATACAAAGTAATTATGTTCTATAATATCAGGGGAATCCTAGAGATTAAGAACTTCCCAATAAGGAAATTACTATAGGTAATCTTTGACAACTTGTTCAGAAACCATTCAAAGTCACAACAGTGCTGAACAAGGAGGATTTACAACCGATTGCAAATTTGCAGCCATTGCAGCATCCCCATGGTCACATAACTGATTCTGGCATTCGGTGTCCAGCTTGTGATTATTACATTGTAGTGAGCCACGGTCATATGATTGTGATTTCCAATGTTTCCTGCTGGCTTCCCACAAACAAATTCAATGGTGAAGTTAACAGGAAGTCAGATGTCTGAGCTTTTTTGCTCTGTAGTGCCTGCTTGTGGCATCCCCTCCATAGCACCTGTGCATTTGCCAACCTGTGATTTCTCCCTCTTCCTGCCTAATGACCTGCAAGGTCTTGGGTTATGGCCATAACCAAAACTGCCAGGATTATCATCACTAAGTGATGTGGTTAGGGTTAGGGTTAGGTACTCAACATCACATTTTACAACTACATCACTTAGAGATGGAAATTCTGGTCCTAATTGCCATTATAACCTGAGGATATCTGCACTAGGCATGGTTGAAGGTCAAGGGAGCTTCTGACAGTGCTATTGCTGCTGCTCATCACATACTCATTTTTTGTTATACCATAAAAGTATGCCAAACAGCAAAAATAAGATAGATCACTCTGAATCCCAGGTGAATGAGCATTGTCCTAAAGACAGCAATTCTTTAGCTCAACAGAGGGTTTGTCAAACTTGAGGTACTGCTACTAAAGTCAGATTTAATTGTAAGAAGAGTACAATAACAGACACAGAATAATGCTGATGAGTTGTACTCATATCACATGCTTCCCCATGGTAAACTGAACCATGTATTTACCTCACAAGCTATGTTTGCACAACGCATTAATCTAAAATCTATTGTAAGCTTATGGTTCAGTGCATTTTGCAAACACAACATATATAGCCTGCACAAGTACCATGTATCAATCATATTGCATCAATATCATGTTTCAATTATATTACAGCATACAGAAGTACAGACCACAGAGAAGCAAGAGCAAAACTTCCAGGAATGTTGACAGAACAAAACATGTTGGTTATTGTTTAGTTTGCACTGATCATTTAGTAACAACTGGTTTCCTTTTCCACACTTTCAGGCTACTTTTTTTCACATTAAGATTTCGGCCCAGCATCTTTACACTGAAGGAATGTGATAATTTCATGGAGGGCCCCTCCTTTTCTTCCATCCTCCAATTATATAGACCTGAGCCACATTTACAGAACAGATAGATGCACTTTTTTTTTTTCATTTTAGCCATATTATTCCAGCATGCTGTTAATGCTAGTGGGAAAAAATAAGTCACAGTCAATTAGTTGTTGTCCCAAAATGCATCAGGATAGGATTAATTAAAACTCTCTCTCTCCCCACCCAAGAAAAACACATTTCCACATACAACTCTACAGACATGTAGAAATAAAGTAAAGCTGGCCCTTTAATACAAAGCCTCAAGAGCACATAAATTAAAAACAAATTGCTCTCATTTTTGTAACAAAATGAAACAAGAGTTCTCCAATCCATTTGAGGGCGTGTAAGTCAACAGCGTCATCCTGAGAAGATGACTTAACAATGAGTGCCTTTATTTCAGGATATGGTGGAAGACCATGTATAGCTAATGTGCATTTCCCCCCCCCTTCAAGTCAATACTGAACAAGACAGGATATGCAAAGCAGTAATAATTTAATAGAGGGTTGTGCAATTGAGCCTACCTTCTCTTTCAGATTAGCACATATTTCCTGCTGTTTTCTTCTATTATTAGCCACCATCATTTCAGTCTCATAAGCGGCGCAAGCTTCTGCGAGAGTCATCACCGCCTTCACCAAGAATGTTTTCCTAGCTTGGACCCAGTTGAACATCAGCACTCTCAATTGGTTTCTTGTAAAGTAATAGTGATCCCAAGACTTTTCATGAGCAATCTGAAGGGGTGGGGTGGGGTGGAGAATGGAAGCAAGAAAGGAGAAGGGGGTTATATTGGAAATAAATTGATTAGATAGAATAGAATTGATCTTCTAAACCCTAACAGCTAAAGGTTGCTTTAATTGGATGTTAAAAATGACCGTATTTGAAACCAAGAGAAGGTTAGCTAATAAAAGCATGAGCGAATCATGTCCTTCTGAGAAACTAACAATAGCTATGTTGCAAAGCATTTATAAGGGTTAACATAACTAAATCAACAACCCAGAAATATTTCTAACTTACTGACAAGAGGCCAAAGGAAAGAATAAAAGGCATCTGCCGCTGAGAAAGCGGAGAAATTTAAAGCTAGTCTTCTCCCCAAGTCGTCTCTCGTGGATCTATTCAATTGCCTCCCCCGAAAAACACGTTTTGTTAAACGTGTCATTTTTGTGTGCAAAAAAAGTTTGTACCAAATGCAGCAGGAATGTAACATGAACGCCGTGTAAAACTAATTGGAGTGCTATCATGGATTTCACTGTGATATGTGGAGAGTTCTATGAATGAATGTTCCATTATTTAGAAATGATTGAATGTTGCTGTGTTTTGCTTTCAGCTCAGAGAAGAAGCTGAGTTATAAATCTAAGTTTGTTCCCTTTTGAATACTGCCTATTAGTGTGGGCATGTAGGTATGTTTTTTTATATTATCTCACCTAGCATTTATTTAAAATATTGAATGGCTAGTTTGCTTGCCAGCTAACATTAGTGGATTTGCTGAACATTTAAACAACAATACAGCACATTACATTTATAGTTCCAAGCAGAATGCAGAGCAAAAGTGTAGAACTTGTGGCCCTAGTGTATTTCAACTTTCAATTCCCTTCCCCATTAGCCATGTTGGCTGGGGCTCCTGAGAGCAATATCTCAAGGGCCATAGGTTTCCATGCCATTCTACCCAGTCGGAGGAAGTCTCAAAAAGTTCTTTTTCCTCAAGAAAAAGAGAGTCTGTGAGAGTCTGAAGACAACTGCTGTCTCTGATGGCCTCACCCTTGAAGAATATTTTCTTCCCAGAGATTGGAACATTAGTCTTTAGAAAAGCCACAAAGAAACAGCTCTTTCACCAAACATATGGAGGACTATTTATTATTTTTATTTATATCCCACCTTTATTATTTTTATTCAAGGGAGCAAACATACCTAATACTCCTTCCCCCCTGCTATTTTCCCCAGGACAACAACCCTGTAAGGTGAGTTGGGCTAGTATATAAGCAAATAAATGAATATATTAAAAAGGGAAAAGTAATCTATACAAAAACAGGAAGTTGCTCCTACATGTAAGATACAGAGTGTGTGTCAACTTCTGCCAATTTTCAGATTTGGCAGCATTTTATCATATCCTGTTGAATCCCATTCCAGGCAGTCCTCGACCTTTAGGAACAGCTACAACTAATTTAGAGGCAGATATTAAGCTTGGATGGATTTAAAAGATGCAGGTGTGGATTGGAGACCTTGGAGGTCTGAACACAGAGCACCTTGCTTACAAACACATAATCCATTCACACACATATTATAGTACAGTATTTCAGTGAATACCATAACCAGTTTGACAACACTGACTTATCTGAATCGTGTTGCATTATGCTCTTTTTTAAAAAAAATACAAACGTGTGAATGTTTTGTACTATTTTTGGAGGGATGGGATTATCTGGAACACATTTGAAAAATGACAGAGATCAAAGGAAGAGGAAAAATGAAAAGTCCCAAGTGCAATTCCATGTGTGCAGGGCTAAACGGAATCTTATATTCAGCAAAACCTATTAAAAACTTTTAAAACTGAGTTGTCATCCCAATAATTGAATTAAAAAAGAGAGAAGTTCTACAACTTACAAGGCTTTGTCTAGATTTGTGAGGTAGAAGTTTCTGAAGCATATCCAAATAGAGCGTTCTTCTACCTTGCATGTCACTTGGATACTGACCAGTGACAACCTGATACGTCCAAAGATCTTCTTTGCTCCACTGGAAACGGCTGTAGGAACAAAACAGGACAAATCTAACACAATCTTACAAGCATTGTATCATAACCTGCTCCTTTCGGATTATGATACGGATTACGGGACCGCCTGCTGCCACCAGTAGCCTCCCACCGGCCGATACGCTCTCATAGAGAGGGGCTCCTCCGGGTGCCGTCAGCCAAACAATGTCGACTGGCGGCCCCCAGGGAGAGAGCCTTCTCTGTGGAGGCACCTACTATCTGGAATGAGCTCCCCCCGGAGATACGGAGGATCCTGGATCTATGCACCTTCTGCCATGCTCTCAAGACCTTTTTATTCCATCAGGCTGGCCTGGCCTAACTGTTTCCCTTTTTAAAATGTAAATTTTAATTCATTTTTAATTTATTGGGGTGTTTTAAATCTGTCTTCGGCCAAATTGTTTAATTCGATTTTATTCAGTTTTAAATTTTGTATTTATGTTTTTTATCCTGTGGCTGTGTACCGCCCTGAGTCCTTCGGGAGTAGGGTGCTATACAAATCAAATAAAACTAAACTAAAACTAAACTAAACTTTCTTGTGTTCATGGCTGCTTGACTCTAAGCCATCTTAAGAAAACCCTGTTTAGACTGAGACTTAGCAACACTTTGCAAGGTATTCAGTCCAAATTGCAGCTACCACATCCTATTGGAAAATTCCCTGGTTGCTGGGCTTTCCCATCTTTCTTTTCCAGGAAAGCATTTGCCAATCATCTTCCTTCCTCTGGGTGGATCTTCCTGAGTAGATATATTTCTAATTTGTATGTCACCCAGAAAACATCCCCGCCCCCATGTATACAAATATAAATGAAATCTAAAGCAACTTTATATTTAAAGCATCAACATGCATGTATTTGCAAAGCCTGCTGATGTTTCCCTGCAAAGCATTTTTTCCCATTAGCCTTGATGAAGAAGCACTTATCTGGCCTGTTCCTAGTGTTGTGGGTGTGGGTGTATATGAAGGCTCTCATCCATTCCTACCCTCCATAAACGGTTGCTGGTTCATGCTGGTGATGAAGCAGCTTCACAGTGTGGATAAACTCGTCATTTCCAAGAAGAGGCAATCGTCACTGAAGCCCTAACAAGCTACCTTGATGCACAATCAAGTCCTATCATGAACCCTTGTGCATGGGCATAGATAGATCCAACTTGTGTACTCGGTTTGAAAGTGCTCTTTACTCATTCAGAATGTTCATGCTTTTGTGTCTGGGGCAAATACTGAATAAGGCATTTATTTTTGTTTTGTTTTGTTTTCCTGAAGTTCCATCTGAAGAACTAATTGTGGAGGAAGACTATTAACCACTGCCTCTGCCATCATGCAAAAATTGAGCCGTTTCTGTACCCAGCTGCATCTTTTTGGAAAGAGGTGGGCAAAACACCTGGCAGATGGCGGGAGGGACAAAAGCCACACTGGCTTTCAAATACATAGGCATCAGTACAAGGCAAAGAGGTCAAAATAAGAATGGGATCTGTCAACAAGAAAAGACCTACTGTGGCTCCCAATAAAAGTGACCAAGTCTCTCTTCTCCTTTGGTTATAGAGTCTGTTCCAGTAGTATTGAAAAGTCACAAGCCCTCTTTTTTTTTTTTGTGCTGTCCTTCTATTTCTTAAAAAAGAAAGGCTTACAGTATTATACACTCTTAACACTGCTATTATTCAAGCACAAAAACAGTTGTAAAAAAAAACAAACCCTCCGCAGCCAAAGGGGCCTAACACACACTAGCTCAGAGGAACACTGACATAACAAAGGAAATAGCCTGCAGCCAAACAAAACAATGTTGTATCTATTAAGAGCTCTGGATGCAAAAAGCATCCGCCTTTCCATGCCATTCCAGAAATTATTCTTTGCATTACTCTCTTTCAAGATTCACAGTTTTAAATACGGCCGGCCATTAACAACAACTGAAAGGGGAAGGGGAAGGAAGCAGGGCTTAAAATACACAGCTTGAAAAAATATTGGCATCATTTAAAAAACAAACAAACTTATGTCTAAGTTGTTGGCATAAAAATCCTACTCAAGCAGTTTACTTTGAAGGCCATTAGACACATTTACATGTCACACCATGTCAAAATTCTAAGAATATGAGCTTGTTGTGACCAAGTTCGATCATTCCCACTTTATTCCTCTTGCCAGCAGAAGTGGCTTCACAAATTATTTTTGTGGTTTTAGTGTGATGTGACAGCGAAAATCCCTGGTCAAACCCTAACGTGAAACTAGACCATGATTTAGTCTGGCTTTTTAAAAGGATTCTCAGTGCATACATTTCACTCAATGCATACAGATGTAGATTTCTTGGCTGATCAGTGTAAATAGACTGCTTGCTTGGGGAAAGAACAAACACATCCAGCTATGAGACAGTACTCTGCCAATAAAACTGTCCCATTTCTAGCATAATCCACATTCTCATGGCAGATTATATACAGTGTAGACATGAAAAGAAGGGCCCACAAAATGAGACATATCAGTATTGGACTCTCATAAACCATCACACATAAACATGCACATCCATCCATCCATCCATCCATCCATCCATCCATCCATCCATCTATCTATCTATCTATCTATCTATCTATCTATCTATCTATCTATCTGAGTTTAGCATATGAATGTAAGATTGTTCCAAAGGCACCACAATTGGGTACCTGGGTATCGACCCATTAGCACACAGTTTTATATAGCTTGAGTCAGGTTTGCTTTAGGAAGATTACTGTGTAATCCAGGAAATCTCCTAGAATCTCTTACTGAAGTACCTTGATCCCGAGTATATCTCCGGAAGATCAGCCTATTGGAATTCATAGCATACTTCCAAAATGCCTGTAAAATCTGCATTTACTTATTTATATGATTTATACAACTGCCCATTTCACATGAACTCACCACACTTAAAAACCTCTACTCCACTCCTGGGACCCAGGGATGAACAACAACTCCCCTCACCACCTACACATCTAACTCAAATGCCTGGGGAAACAGCCAGGGTTTCAATTCAAGCTATGTCAGTTATATTTTCCAAAAGATTCCATCTAATTTATTCAGGGGTTGCAAACTGAAATATTAAGTAAAATTTAATTTTGTAATAGGAATATCTTGCCGCTTCCTCTTGGAACAATTTTTGGTTTGACCGATTTGCAATGCCAAATGGTTTTCAACATACTTTTTCTCCTCCAAGTAACTCATAGTTTATTTCCAGCATGAATTTCAACAAAGCCCATCTTTGTTTTTGTTGTTTTTGTCTTTGTATAAACCAAGGAGCTGTAGGAGCTCAAGGCAGTATATAGCACTCTCCTTTTTTATCCTCACAGCCCTGTGGGTAATACAGAGTGAAAAATGGTGACTGACCTGAATCACTCAATGAGGTTCTATAGCTGAAGGTCAACTTTAACATTGGTCGCCCAAGTTCTAATCTGGCACTTCAACCTCTACTGCACACTCTGCTGACCCTCCTTAGGGAAATCTAAGAGCTCTTATGGCAGGGATGTCAAACTCACGGTGTCACAGCATCGTCACGTAATGTATCAGGACTTTTTCCCCCTTCGCTAAACTGGGCATGGGCGTGGCCAATGTGTGATACATCTGGCCCGTGGGCCGGGAGTTTGAAAGCCCTGTCTTATGCGAAAAAGAGCTAGTCCCCAGGAAAGGGTGGTGCCTCAACTGCTCAGAAGCTCAACAGGATCAGGCCTGCTCAGGACCCTGGATGTGAATCCCAAGGCTAAAGGCTAGGCCAGGGGTCAGCAACCCATGGCTGTGGAGCCGCATGCAGCTCTTTCATCCCTTTGCTGCGGCTCCCTGTTGCTGGTCGGCTCCACAATTGATAGGGCTTTCAGTTAGGACATGTAGAGGAAAAGGGATGCCACACTAGGAGGAGATTCTTTTTTTTTTTAATACAATTTTATTGATTTTTTTTACACAAATAAAATATAGTAACAATTCTGTTTAACATCGGATTCGCAGTGTTTATACATATATACATGAGTAAGTGTCTGGTGTCATTTATACTATACATTTCTAATTAATTTCTGCACCTTTTATTCCTTCCTTAATTCTATCATTTATCCATTCGTACCATCTTCCCCACACAGTATCATAATCAGAATTTTCATCGTCATTTATCTCGTGTGTTAATTTACTTATCTCTGCACACTCTAATATTTTATTAATTATAAGGTCATCTGGTGGTAGGTCTTTCTTTTTCCAGTATTGAGCGTATGCTAGTCTGGCAGCTGTAGTTATGTGTATTAGGAGGTGGACCTTTTCCTTTCCATACCCTTTCTTTACCATTCCCAGGAGAAATATTTCTGGATTCAAATCGATTTCTTCTTTAAGTATGTCTTTCAACCATCTCCGAATTTTGCTCCAGTACCTTTTTGCTTCGGGGCATGTCCACCACATATGAAAGAAGGTGCCATGACCATGGCCACATTTCCAACAATTTGGCTGCGCATTGGGGAACATCTTTGCTAGTCTTGCAGGTGCTAAATGCCACCTATGAAGCATTTTGTAATGATTTTCCTTATACGTGGCTGCTCTAGTTAATTTATAATTTTTATTCCAGGCTTCTTCCCATTCATTAAAGTTCAAACTGTGTCCAATATTTCTCTCCCATGCTCTCAATTGGTTTCTGATTATATCCTCATCTCTGTCTTCATCTAATAAATAATTATACAGCTTGGCCAACGCTTACTAGGAGGAGATTCTATGGTGGGGGAACTGACTTCCAGTTGGCAGAGGAAAAAGGATGCCATGCTAGGAGGACACTCTATGGTGGGGAAACTGGACTTCCGGTCAGCAGAGGAAAAAGGATGCCGCGCTAGAAGGAGACTATGATGGGGGAACCGGACTTCCGGTCTGCTCCAGAATTGAATGGGGGCTTCTGGTTAGAACCTTTGTGGCTCTTTGAGTGTTTAAGGTTGCCGACTCCTGGGCTAGGCTAAGAAACTGATCACCATCTCAGAAAGCAGCAATGGCAAACCACCTCCAGATTATTGCCAAAAAAAACCTG